AGAACGAAACAGAAATAATACAAGATTTATTATTACGATGGAGTATCAATAATTTGAATAATTTTGTTGTAGTTGTGACATGCTCTAGCTAATTTAACCATGTATCATCTAAGTATTTTATCTAGATAGCTGTAGGAAATATCTAACAATAATTTATCAACATTCCATCTTCATGCTTTTCAATTATTGTATAATAAGATATTTATGTATACTGATCATTTACTGATTATAATAAATAGGCTTAATACATATCTAAAATCTAATGTACAAGTTTATTTTCAATACGATTAAAAGGTGCGTACTGCTAAAATTCAACGCCAAAAGTTATGACGTAATTAATCACCCAAAAGAAAAATAAGGATAATACAAACATGAAAACCATATCAGATGGTTTTCATGTTTGTATTATCCTAAGTTTTATTTAGGCTGCTAGGCTGCCAGGCTGCTAGGCTGTTTGACTGCCAACATTCGGCTGCTAGGCTGCTAGGCTGCCAACTTCACAAACATAAGTTAACAAACAGTAAAATAAGTGATACCTCCATACAAAATCACTTTAAGTGTACCAATTGCCAAAATGCAACAGAAGCAAAAGATGGCTCAGGTAAATGACCAGTGTGTAACTATTTCGAAATTGTAACAGGGAACTTTGAAAAATAAAAATGGTAGCATTTCACGCTTAATTAGTCATTTAATTGGGATTGAGGCTTTTTGTGTTGAAATATAATTAAAGCATAAATACTAAAGCACTGCATTTATTATAGCTACATTTTGTAGAAAGTACATATACTATTAACATGTATAAACTTATTTCATAATGTACAACATAGATGCAAAATAATGATTCTCGCTTCAATTTTCAACGATAGTTTCAATACGTTCTACACTTACCAAGTTCAAAATTAATAATTTAGCACTTGCTACTGATACAAGTAACTGAAACTTGCTCTTTTGGTGATAATTTGTCATACGAGAACTGAGCAATTAAAATGTAACTTAACGAAAATGCATGCACAAAGATAATAATATATAATGTTAAAAACAATAACTCATTTACAATTATTAATTACAATGTCTGCTTATTCTATTAAGTATCTTATTTCCAGGCATGTTATCTATCGGATGAGACAACACAATGATTTGGGGTGTAAATATATACATGTTTGTGTGTGTGCGTGTGTTTGTGTGCGTGTGTGTGTGGGGGGGGGGTGCATGCGTGTGTTTTCTGCATGTTTTTGAATTGAGTTAAACATTTGTATTGTTTGAACAAGTCCTGATATTTTCTTTCTATACTCTTCGTTTCTTTCAATTTAAACATTTTAACACCAATGGGCTAAACAATCAAGAGTCGTGTCCTTGGTTGGGCTGCTGACCGAGTCCGTATCTAACCATAACACTTCTTGACCACTTGCGTTTAAAATGGGTCCCGTCTTTGCTTCGAAAGACTGATCAGCTCTTTGTAAAGTTGGACACTTCTTGTTGTTTAAGTTTTTATTCACTTCTGACGACATCTGAGGCTGCTGCTCGGCAACTGCATATCTGTTTAGTTCATTCTCGTCGAAACGAGTTACTAAGTCGTGGCCACGAAATAGCAAAGTCGTGGCCACGAGATAAATAACAAATCAGATTACACCAAATTAACTAGACATGTGCTATAGTACAAGGATGCCCCTTGTCAATATTTTACATTTAGCGTCACTGTGACCCTGATTTTTGACCCATTGACCTCGAAATTATTAGAGGTCATCTACCAATCAGGTGCAATGATCCTTCTGGTTAGATTAACCATGGGTTATCCTATCTAAATTATTCATCAGACAAGGATTTCACCTTATAGGCTATTTACTGTCCATTGGCAATGTCCCTTTCAAATAAAATAAATCAGGACTTATACTTTCTCATGTTGTCTAACAGGCCGTAGTACGTACAAACTGACCAATTCGATCACAAAGTTGCCCAACAAAGAGCTATAGTCAAAATTAATGTCTGACGGGCCCTGGATGGTGACTTTCTAAAATGATATTTAAGACAAGTTCAAAGTGAATATCTACAGTATTTTCAAAGATTAATGTTGCATGTAAAAGTAAGTTGTTAAGTTAAAAAAAATCATAAAATATATAGTGTATTCTGATTGGTTAATTATCTCGTGGCCAAAACATATCGGTATCTCGTGGCCACGAGATAAATAAAAACACACACATCCCACCTTTGTGTCAACGTACTTTTCTTAAGGCTGGTTTGTTTTGTAAACTATAGAATATTCATCCAGGGCCTTGGCTTTTGTCCATTACCGGACTAGAATATCTGTCTTGTAGTCCATGGATGGGTCTTCCTCTTAACATCTGTGTTATAAAATTCAGTTCTGAATTTGTTCATACTTTTTTCATATGGTGTCATTTTAAAGCGATTTATATTATAAACTCATATTTTTCTAAGCATGTTGCTTTATTTTGATATGAATATAAAAACGTTTGATAGTCATATAGACTCATTAGCAGGATGCAAACTGCTTCATGCTGTGGATGTAAACGTTGTATGATCTAAATAATATGATAATAAGAAGCATTTAAACAGTCTGACATTAAAATAAATATCGCACAAGTTCTAATGAACAAACATCCAAAGAACGTGCATCATACATTGTTCATGCGAATCAGAAAAAACAGCTTTTAACAAGAGCATCACAAAGGCGAAGCAATAAACGCCTGAACGTAAATTTGTCTCAGTAATCAAAAATAATCTTTCAATCAGTGTAGAAACCAAATCAAGAAACTTGTCATATTATGATACTTTATGACCTCCAAGGTAGAAGCTTTTTTAACTCGAAGTTCACGATTCATTAAACTTTTATAGAGGTATACTAGGCAATACGTTGCCGCCAAATACAGAGGCATAGTATTTATCAATAGAAAAGAAGAGATAATTTTAATTTTGATAACTATTCACATTTAGATGATAATTTACCCCATGCATCATCATATGGAGTATATTTTGCTCAGTAAAATAGATTTGCAAGGGCTTGCAGTCGTGTGGATGATTAAAAGGAACGCATTTTATCAATTACTGGCAAACGTCTTTAATAAGGATATCGCTATCATAAATTGCGTAAATATTTCAAAATATATTTCTACATTTTAATTCAGATTTAAATTTAAAATTTGATTTAAATTAACAAACTTTTTTAAGATAAGTTATTTGCAAGTAATCTTTTAAGATTAGGTAGTTTTTACGGAGATGTAGTTTATTAAATTCGTAGGTTCATACTTGGGCTATAGGAGTAAGGTTTTGCGCTACTTTAACCGGTTTAAACTCCCAAGTAGTGTTAAAAAATGTTAAACACTACCAAGAAGGAAAGGCGGCGTTCAATGAACGTAGCCCTTATACAATCCATCAAAAAAAACGAGCGGCAAGGAGCCAAGAAGGACCCCAAGTATAACAGGACAGGGCACAAGTCAGAGAACGGACAGGATAATCACTTTAAGTATACTTAAAAAGAAATTATGGTAACCGACAGGAAAATTAAAGAAAACAAGTAATTGATTGATTAAAAGGCCAACAAAGTAAAAGGGGAACGGGACTCGGGATTGGTTGAGGGGTGGCAAAATAAAGAAAATAATACTAGGGGCAAATGAGAAAATACTATCCATTCCAAGGAGCTATTATTCTGTGTTCCTTCATGTGTTTTACATGAATGCATTGTTACATCTTTTTGTATGTTTTCACTTTTTGAGATTTTTTGAAAAATTGTCGTTATCGTTATTTTATTTTCATTTCCCCTCGTAAACAATTTTGTGCCCGCCCTTTTCTACCCATTTTCCTCCCCCCTTTCCCGTTTTGGCCCCTATTAGTTTTAGCCCCTAATCATTTTATTTATTAAATTTTACTCTCCTCCTTTCTCGCCGCTCTTGTGCCCTCTCCTGATTTTGGTTCGGTGCCTTTTGGGTACTCTGATGTTATGGCTGGATTGTGTCGGGAAGCTGCGGTCTGTGAACGTCGTTCTTGCCTTGTTGATCTTAATTCTCATTTTGCATTTCCTACACCTAAGTCTTGTTTAAGCAAATTATTTCAGGGGCCCGGGATAGGGCTTATTTTAATATAAATTCATGATTTATATTTTTTTTGTACAAATATTTAAGTTCATGCTACATTTTAAATATCCAAAGTCTGGAAAAAAATGAAATTAATACGAAAAGACTTAGTGTGCCATTGACATGAAAAATATCGTCACATTTAATTAATCGTCTCATATTTACCTTGAAGTCTCAATTTCCTTCCATCGGTTCCAACAAATACAAACAGGACACGAAAACTCATATATAAGTATATTAAAATCAAGTTATCTCTAGGGCGTTGCGAATGCTCATCTCAAAAAGCCTGATTCTGTGTCATGGAGACCGTCGCATTTTTTTTAGCAATACATTTTTTTCGGTCAAAATACAGAATGGCGCCGCCTTGGAATGTTCAGCAACTTTTACACTGCTGGAGACATGAATTTATTTATTGGTGCACCCAACATGTTCATTGGTTTCAAAATGTGAAATAAGTTAAACACAGAAATGAGTATTTATATCCATATGAAAGTAAACCCAATGACTATAGTGAAAAGTACTTAATGTATTAACGAAAGACAGAGCAGCATGAACAGCGGAAAATCGCCTGCAAGGGCCCATTAAAGGAAGGCAGAAGAATTCCCCCCAAAAAACGAAAATTATTTCAGCCCCCGCCACCTGCACTCAAAGATTTAAATGCATTTTTATGCGTCTGCAGATCTTAATGCAAGGAAATAAGTTTAATTAACATCTACTAGAAGATATAATTAAGCGATACAAATTCATGTTTCGTTTATAAGGACTGAAGTACGATAACCGCCATGCTAAGCTAGCAAACACTTTATTTACTTCAGTGATAAAGGGAATTAGTACAAGAGGTTTCCTATTGCCTAAATAATTACTCTGAAAACTCTATCTAATGAAACATTTGGCAGCAGAAAACATATAGGTCATATCCTGTTTTTAAGTATCAATAAATACACTGTACTTTTATAAAATTAAACAATTATATAACAGTTTCAGATGTTTTTTGTGAAACCGAAGTTCTTTTTCAGTAGTATTAACATAAATATGTTTTTATAAAAACAAGATGTGTGGATTTAAATGTTCAGTTTTTGCCCTTCTGGTAACATTACCATGTATTCTTAAAGCAAACGAACAGAATTTTCGTTCAAAGAGAGAAGGTATATTTATTTATCATTATCTTGCTTCAATTTCAAAACTAAAATAAAGTTTGCCTTCTGCAGCTGCCTTCGGCTATGATTATAAATTTTGTAAAGATCAGCACTTTAATTAAAAAACCCATTTGAAGGCATTTCTCTATTTATAGAACCATGTGGCGGAGATATCGATTTGGAACTTATGGGTGGTGTTGCTGAAATTCAGCTCAGGACCGGAGTAAAAAATGGCGTAGAATTTTATAGGTAATTGTTTTTTTAAATGTCAGAAATCTATGGTATTTATTGTTTTCGTTTCTATATATTATTTCATTGACTTTATGTCAAGTAATAGTTACCAATAAAGAGCGTGTATATGACGCCTCTGCCTTCGTGCTTTTTTTTTTGAAAAATAAATATAGAAGTAATTTGATGATTTATTGAGCAAAGGTCTTCACTTTTTATAAAACTTATTCGTGCGGGAAATTTTTATAAATTTAATTTTCAGTAGGAATTGCGACAAAGAAATTACACATAAAATAAACTAAAAATAGTTCAAGATTGTATTTTGTACTTTAGAATGTAACGTACAATTAACCAAATTTATATATGTATGAGTATCAGTTTCCTTGCGACAAAATTTGTAAACATTCAAGAATGTTTTTATTTATACAAAAAGTTTAAATACATTATAAATAAGTTTAAGAGAAAGCAATATTGAAATTGAAATAAGAACAAGACGTTATCAAAGACATATTTCTTATGGTATCCCTTTATTTGCATAAACTGTAAATTTTGGTCTTTCTTTCTATCTAATATATTTTAATTTAATGATATTGATACTCCTTCATTTGAGCATTAAGAGTACGTATTATATTATAAATAGCATTTTGAGCAACGGAGAGTTTAAAAATAGAAGAAAAAAAATTGTATTAACTTTTAGAGGAAACTAAATCTAAAGTATTATTTATAGGACTTTTAAAGTCTCCATTATGTATTAATAAATGTGTTTAAACGGACGTAGAAACATTGTCAAAGCAGTAAGATTTGAAATTTGTAAGATACCATCACAAATAGAGCTGTAATAAAGTTTGTGAACAAAATAATACTTAAATGAAATGATTTAAAAATGCAATGGGGCAAGATTCTACCTTATACATACAATCCGATAACTTCCGATAACGCAAACATCGAATGTAGTAGATAACATATTGACAGTTTTTACAGGAAAAGATGCCTTTTTTGATAATTTTCAATTTTCCTGTAAAAGCAATTACCGATACAGATACCACTGTGTGTAATACATCTCAGGCAAATTCTTTATTCAAAGCTTTTTATTGTTGCATTTACTTATCTTTTTGTATGACATATTTATTTCCGATATTTTCTTGATAAAATGTCAAAGTTGCACTTTGGGGGGGGGGGGGTTTAGATTTACCCTCGTCCGTTCGTCCATCCGTCCGTCCGTCCGTACTCATTTTGTGTTGAACGAACCTAAATTAGTATTTGACTCAGAGTCATGCAACCTTACAGGAATGTTGCTTAACATATGAAGTTGTGCACCCGGCTATTTTCGTTTGGATCTTTTTATCATTTTAGAGTTATTGCCCTTGACTTAGTAAAAATATGCATTTTTTAACTTGTGTTGAACGTAACTCAAAAGGTATTTGATCTAGAGTCATGAATTATTACAAAATTTTGCTGAGCATGTGAAGTTGTGCACCTGGGTATTTTCGTGTAGATTTATTTAGTATTTTTAGAGTTATAGCCCTTGACTTAATTAAAATTTGCAAGTTTCAATTTGTGTCGCACGTAACACAAAAGGTATTTGACCTATAATCATGAAACCTACAGAAATGTTTCTCAGCATCTGAAGTTGTGCATCTGGGTATTGTTTACAATTTTCAACTTGTGTCGCACGTTACTCAAAAAGTATTTGACCTAGAGTCATGAAACTTTACAGGAATGTTGATCAGCCTATGCAGTTGTGCACCTGAGGTTTGACTAGTGGATTTATTCTGTTTTGTCAGAGTTATTGCCCTTAACTTAGTAAAAAATTTCAATTTTCAACTTGTGTCGCACGTAGCTTAAAAATTATTTGACCTAGGGTCATGAAATTTGACAGGAATATTAATCAGCATGTATAATTGTGCACTGTTGTATTTTTGTGTGGATTTATGTAGTATTTTTAGAGTTATTGTCCTTGACTTAGTAAAAATTGCCATTTTCAACTTGTGTCACAAGTAGCTGAAAAAATATTTGACATAGGGTCATGAAACTTTACAGAAATGTTGAACTGCATGTGAAGTTTTGCTCCTGGGGTTTGCCTGCGAATTTATGTTTTGTCAGACGTTGATGTAGTGAAAATTTGCAATTTTTATCTTGTCAAAATGTATTCAAAATGAAGTTATGAAATTTAAAAGGAATGTTGGTCAGCATGTGCAGTTGTGCATCTTTGGTTTCGCTTGTGGATTTATCCAGTATTTGTAAAGTTATTGCCGTTGACTTACTAAAAACCGTTTTATTATGTTGAGTTATTTGTTCTTTGAGTGCTTGAGTGTTAGAATCAACCAACTGTACAGGAATAATCGTCAACATCACTTTGATGCTATGTATCTGGAATTTTGCATGTTGATTTCTTTTTTCATTTTTTTCCAGAGTTATTGATTTTGACTTAGTATAAGTTTGCAATTTTCAACTTTTTCATGCATAGCTCAAAAAGAATTTGTCCTGTATGCCTGGAAGTTTACAAGAATGTTGGTCAGCATGTGCGCTTATGCGCCTTGGGGTTTGCTTGTGAAATTATTCAGTATTTGCAAAGTTCTTACCCTTTACTTAGTAAAAGATTTTTAAACTTGTGGCACTTGTAGCCTAAAAATATTTGACCTAGAGTGATAAGATTGACAAAACAGTGGAGTGTGGGGGGCACCTGTGGACACATTCCTAGTTTATATATTGGGTTAATCAAAACACAGAAGCATTTTCTGATCATTATTGATCTGTAAAACGTAGAACTTACTGTTAAATAATGTCTTATTCAGAGTTTTCGAAGACTGTACATGGACACTTAAGACGGCTGATGATCATTTTATGATCCTCAAATCCGACTACTTTAGTGTTGAAAAAAGCGAGAACTGTTTGTAAGTAACTAATAATTTACTTACGTTAGAAACATCCCATATCCAATATAAATATAATATAAAAATTAAGAAAAACATCTAAAATAAATCTAATAATATCATTGTATACATATTTAGAACTATTATGTTGTAAATTTATATATATTTATATTTATGTACAAATACGGAATGTACTTATGAAACTTTATTTTATATTTACATTTTTTGACTACTTTTTCAGACGATTTGTTTTGTAGCCAGTTTATTCAGGTCACAATTCAAAATTATAATACTTGTTATTGTTTTGACATTAAAATATGTTTAAATCATTTATGAAAACAAGATCAAGGGAATAATAAAGTTATAATCATTTTGTATAAATTTTAAAATCATTTTTAATATATATCTTTATTTAGATTGGAAATAACATGAATCTTGTCAAATAAAATATTGTGTGAAACACATTTCCATTATTCAATTATTTTTGGTCAAACTTGAATAACAAGACTCAATGCATACATAAAATGTGCCGGACAGCATGCTTACTATCATCGTCGGCATTTGGCACACGAAACGTCCAGTGCATTTATGCGTTTTGTGAATTCATATCCGCCGTCATTGCTGAAAACGTGTTTGCTTTTCGTTTATTAAATAGTGTGGGCTTCCCGTATGTAGCTGAAGTAGTATACTGGCAGATTATTGACAAAATATAACAATCGCATGAAAGTCTTAATTCTTCAACGGGCGTCATATTTGTATATTGAACGCTATGATTGGATATATAATGTCTGAATTTCGTCACAGTTGTGCCTAATGCCACTAAACTATCATATAACTTGTGAAATACTTTTCCCGTTGATTGGTTAAAGTTTCCGTCAATTTATTGAAACTGTTTTAATTTTTCTAGCTCGGACTATGTTAAGATAACAGAAAAGGGCGTTGATGAAACAACAAGCAGACACTGTGGTTTTGATCCATTGACATATATCACATTCGGAAACATAATAAAACTACAGTTCAAGTCGGATGGTTCATCTGAATACATGGGATTCAAATTCACAGTCAAGTCGGTGAAAAGTAATGATTAAATTTGTTTTTGATTACGTTTATATGTCAGCACCATTAAGTCTGGATTTTTTACTTTCAAAATATTTTATATAATATTTTCGTTTAAAATTATTTCTTAGACTTTGGTCAAACAGTAGTTTACCCCGATAAAACCCCGATATAAATATCCATTCATCTCTTCAAACAACTCTGCCTTTGATACATTTCTTTAATGTTCTTTATAATTGCATTACGCGTGGGAGAGTATCTCACCCGCTTGATATAAAAATAAAATGTTAATATTATACTGCAAATAAGATTGTTATACTCCTCGAAGGGAAAGCATATAGTCGCCAGCTTTACCGTCCTTCCGTCTGACCGTCCCCGTTAGAAAAATCTTGTCCGGATCATAACCTGAAACCCTTGGACATAATTTGTTTAAACTGCACACAGTGGCAGAGGGCCTTGATGCGGTGTTCAGTGCCAAAGAACTATAACTCTATTTTCCCCCGTTTTTTTAAATTATTTCCCCTTTATAAAAGGTTGTCTTGAGCATAACCTGAAAACATTTTGACATAATTTGTTTACACTGCACACAGTAGTAAAGGTAATTAAGTTGGAGTGCAGTACCAAAGAATCAAATAAACTCTAATTTGCTCCGTTTTTTTTTAATGATCTCCCCTTTAATAAAAATCTTGTTACACTTTGAAACTTTGCCTGAGCACAACTCTAACACTATGCGAGATATGAACAAGAAACTTTGTAGGTAGATGGATCGCATCGCATTGAGTAGATGAGCAGTGCAAAAGATCCGCGACTTTGCCTTGCTTTAATTAGAGTCATTGCCCTTTGTCTATTTTTACACGGTTAACTTTGAAATAATTCTATGAATGTAAGAGATATCAAAAACAAACTTTGTAGGTAGATAGATCTCATTGGGTAAAAGAACTGTGCAAAAGAACCAAAACTCTTCCTTGTCTAATTTGAAGTTAATGTCCTTGTTTATTATTACACTTTGGACATTGTCCGGGACATAGCTCTGTATCTTTAAGAGGTATCCACAAAAACTTTGTAGGTAGATAGAGCTCATGTTATCCAAGTGCAATTGAACATAACTTTTACTTTGCCTTGCCTAATTTTGGAGTTATTGCAATTTGTTCACTTTACACTTTGATCATCGAAACCATAAGAGATATCAACAAGAATATATGTAGGTAGATTTATCTCATTAAATAGAAGTGCAGTGAACCGTAACGCTGCCTTACTCAATTATGAAGCAATTGCCTTTTGTTCATTCATAAAATCTTGAAAAATGTTGAAAAATCATTTTAACACTTTGACTTTTATCCAGGATATCGCACTGAAAGTATACAAAGTATGAACAAGGTACTTTGTAGGAAGATAGATCTCATTGGGTAGATGTCCAGTGCAAAAGAACCATTACTTTAACTTGCCTTATTTTAGAATAATTTCCCTTTGTTCATTTTTACACATTGAACTTTGTCTGGGACATAACACAGACACTATGAGAGATATGAACAAGAACGTTGTAGTAAGATATATTTTTTGGGAAGAATAGCATTGTAAAATAACCGTTACTTATCCTTGCCTAAGTTTGAACTTATTGCCTTTTGTTTTTTATACTTTGACATTACTCTGAAACTAAAGACACATGAAGTTAAAACTTTGTCGTAGGATAGAGCTATTGCGTAGAAATGCAAAACTGTCTTGTCTTATTTGAGAGTTATTGTCCTTTTCCACTCTGTAAATTTTTTCTGGAACATTTCTGTGCAACTACAAGGTTTATAGTTAAGACATTAAGTTGGAAGATAAATCGCATTGAGTGGAAGTATAAATAGTTGCAAACAACACTTACTCTCCCTTGCCAAATTTTGAATTATTGCACTTAGAACTTTGTCCGGGACATAACTCTGCAACTACCAGAGGTATACTTTTCTGTTACCAAAAAATTATCAGGGATCATCGACCGGTTTAACCGGCTCTTGTTTACATTGTTTTAGTTATAAGTTCGGTTTTAGTTATTCTTTTGCGAATCAGTAAATATCATCTGATTTTGTCGCTTATAGGAATTGAAAAATAAATCCAAGTTACAGACCAAAAAAAAAACAAAAAAAACAACACACAAACATCGACCATTTTTGTTATAATTTCAACTTCAGCATTCATTAAAATATACCACTTTTCGTGCAACGGTTTTGAAAAATCAACCTTTGCAGTTCCCGTGTAAGCCACATACACATATGGATAAACTTTATCCCAACCCGAGTTCAAAGCAGGGTGTCGAAGTGTAGAATTTGTTATTTACATTAAAGGATAATTGGATCAAAAACCAACACAAATTAAGTTTCAAAACATGTTTCGCTTTATTAAGCTTCCTCAGTTGATACATATATAAAAATGACGTAAACGTACAAAACAAACGTCTACGTTAATAGACGTTACATTTGGCGCGTAAAAGGAACGTGATAATATTACAATAAGTATTACAATAAAACATGTGCATATGTATGTATAAACGTAATTTAAAAAAAAAAAACAAACAAAAAAAAAACAAACAAAAAAAACAAACAAACAGATCTAGCATATATAATTTTCGAAAAGAATTACATAAAATAACTGGATCAAAAGATACATATATTTTCATAGAGAAACTAGGCTAGTAAATAATTACAACAAGTATGAAAACAACAGTTACTTATGTGAAAGTTTAGAATTCGAAAAAAATGTGCTTTAATCATTGCATAATTGATACTTACACTAATTATGGATTGTAAGTGTCAAATGGGCACGTGACCGCTTGTTTTTACAGCCAGTTTACAATATCACTCAAGACACTTAGACTACTTAACTGTCATTCAACTTGGGTACTTCTGTACCATGACGTGTTTGTTTTGAAGTAATTTAATTGATAGTGATTGTAATATTATGTGTTTATATGTCTTAAAATTTAAAATGTGAAGTGATAAAATGTAGCATGTTTCTTATTATAATAAACTGAATTACATGTGTTATTCCTCTACCAATCAATGTTTGTAATTTTGTTGATTTTGCCTTTGCCGTCTGTCTGTCCGTCCGGTTGTCGGTCCGATTACCGTCCGTCCGCATTAAGCTTGTCCGCCCTTCACATGTCAAATTTCTGGCGGGTTTTCTGTCTATCTATCTATAACTTTACCGGAGTGATCAGTACCATCCTTAGTTGTGCACTTCACCAGCACGTTGTGCTTTGCCGTACACAAAATGGCCACCAGAGCTAAAAATAGAAAAATCGTGTCTGCCGTTCACAGGTCAAACTACTGTTGGGATTTCAAACAATCTTTAAAGGAGGGATCAGTACCATTCCTAGTTGTGCACATCACCGGTACGTTCTGCTTCGATGCACAAAATGGCCGCAAGAGATAAAAATATATAATTCTCTTTTCCACCTACACAGGTCAAACAACTGGTGGGATTTCAACCAAACTGTACAGGAGTGATCAGTATCATCACTAGTTGTGCACGTCACCGGCATGTTCTGCTTTGCTGCACAAAATGGCCGTCAGATCTATAAATAGAAAAATCGTGTCTGGCTTCCAGAGGTCAAGCTACTGGTGGGATTTCAATGAAACTTCACATGAGTAACCATACATAGTTTTGGAAGACATATGTTTTTGTTACTAAAACCCTCCTATTTGCTGATTTAATTGATTCAACATTTACAGAACGAACGACCATTAACTTCGAAGCTTGCGTTTTCTTTACATATTTTTGTGAACTGTACACTTATTCACAGAGCAAGTTTTCAAATGTTATATAAATTTCTAACGTTTTTTTTACGTCACTTCTTTTTATTTCCTTAGGTTAATCATATTCTATTTAATAAAATAGAACTATCTTTTCCGTCCACTTACGCAACACTGTCTATTGTGACATAACTTTTTGTTATTCTCTTAAACTAAATGTAACACTCACTCGTGGTTTAAACTTTCTACATGATTTACGCGTGCCAGTTATTATTCAATCCTCGAACTGCCGCTCTCGGCTTTTTACCAGACCATATATTTAACCTCATGTGACTAAACATTATATCACGCGATTAGGGGTGTGGATCGTCGGATAAGTGACGATCCGATCCGAACCACGATTCAGCACCTACGATTCACAAATCGAACCACAAATCTTTTGTTATCAAGACACCCATAAAAACATGTACAAAAGTTATAAAAACATGTTCATTTAAGAAAACAGCAACAATACTATACATTTAACATATAAAATATAAAATTTGTTTATGTTTTTATTCTTTGGATGAGTATTTTTGTTTTGTTTTTGAAACCAATTACTACCTAGCTCAGCATCATGGTACATGGCCTTTAACCGGCAAATTGTCTTTAGGTAAATTTCATATAATTCATACTCAAATCGTATTTTTTTCGATTTGAAGAGTGTGAGAAACAGTGAATGTATATAAAAAAATTAGATCGCGATCCACGATCTCTGGGCTTACGAATATTCAAACTCGATTTTTCACTTTGATTCGTGATTATCAGAGTACTCGGATACTCGCCCCAGCCCTACACGCGATACTCAGCATGTAAGGATCATGAGAGTTACACATAATCAGAAGTGCAACCACTTAAGTGAATGTATATTGGTCTTGATAATGTTACAATCTAAAGGTCTGCTAATTTTCTTTGTAAGACTTTATCCGTGCAAGCTACGTATGTTGTGCATGTACAAGAAAATACTTTTATCCGCGCCGAATAAAGGTCTATAAAAACAACGATTAATAAGAGGCAAAGTTTCGTATTTACATACAAAATTGTCTTTCTCCCTATTTGCAGAATTTTTGGATGACACGTTTTGCATTGGTAGTATTTTAGGTGGCGAGGATTCGAGCATAGTGAACAAAGATATTTCAGGAGACAACTGTTTTTACCGAATACCGTTGAAATAATTATAACGTTTTAGACCACTTTGACCTAGTACATTATGAGCTTTCTCTATCCTCTTTTATTTAAAGTTACTAATGTTTTGTGTCTCTCAGAACATTTTACCTCGTTTTTCATGTTAATAATAGCAGGAAATTGAATAAAATTATTTGGTTTTAATTCATAAGATTAATCTAACTCCTGTCGGATTGCAGTTATATAAAAGATATATGATTAATTATTAATTGATATATATATCATAAGCTTAAGGCAGACCTGAAGTATATTTAAATCAGCATAAGGCAGACCATTTTTAAGTTTGCCTAAAATAAGATAAACAAGATCAACAAGGAAAGGCGTGGCGTTCAATGAACGCAACCCCCACACGACCCAGCAACAAGAACCAGTGGCAAGAAATCCGGACGGACCAAAAATAACAAGAGCCACCGCCGGGCGGGGGCAACGCTCGACTTTTTACTTTTTCTAAACGCAAACATAGAAAGGTTTGAACATATCTTAATGTTTCCTTTTTATAAATTTAGTTGGTCTGTCTTGTCACATAAGTTTTGTTTATATATTTTGTATATATATATGAATAGAAACATTAAGCAAATTTCTAAAAAAGCAACATTATGCAATTTCTTAAAATAGCAACATGACGCAATTTCTTAAAAGAGCAACATGTCGCAATTTCTAAAAATAGCAACAATGACGCAATTTCTGAATAAAGCAACAATGATGCAATTTCTAAAAATAGCAACAATGACGCAATTTCTAAACGCAATTTCTAAAAATAGCTACAATGACGCATTTTCTAAAAATAGCAACAATGACGAAATTCCTAAAAATAGCAACAATGATGCAATTTCTAAAAATAGCAACAATGACGCAATTTCTAAAAAAAAGAAAAAATGACGCAATTTCTAAAATTAGCAAGAATGACGCAATTTCTAAAAATAGAAAAAATGATTAAATTTCTAAAAATAGAAAAAAAAGACGCAATTTCTAAAAATAGAAAGAATGACGCAATTTCTATGAATAAAAACAATGACGCAATTACTAAAAATAGCAACAATGATGCAATTTCTAAAAATAGAAAAATGATGCAATTTCTGAAAATAGCAACAATGATGCAATTTCAAAAAATAGAAAAAATAACGCAATTTTTTAAAAATATAAACAATGTTGCAATTTATAAAAATAGAAAAAATGACTTAATTTGTTAAAATAGCAACAATGATGCAATTTCTAAAAATAGAAAAAATGACTCAATTTCTAATCATAGCAACAATGACGCAATTTCTAAAAATAGAAAAAATGACGCAATTTCTAAAAATAGAAAAATGACGTAATTTCTAAAAAAAAAAAAAAACAATGACGCAATTTCTAAAAATAGAAAAAATAACGCAATTTCTAAAAAAAAAAATGACGCAATTTCTAAAAAAAAAAAAAAAAGTAGAAAAAATGACGCAATTTCTAAAAATAGCAACAATTTCTAAAAAAAGCAACAATGATGAAATTTCTTAAAATATAAAAAATGACGCAATTTCTTAAAATAAAAACAAATGACGCAATTTCTAAAAATAGAAAAAATGAAGCAATTTCTAAAAATAGAAACGATGACGCAATTTCTAAAAATAGAAACAATGACGCAATTTCTAAAAATAGAAAGAATGATGCAATTTATATAAATAGAAAGAATGACGCAATTCTATAAATAGAAACAATGACCCAATTCTATAAATAGAAACAATGAAGCAATTCTATAAATAGATACTTGACGCAATTATAGTTGTTGTTGTTGTCGTTGTAAATATATATATATATATATATATATATATATATATATATATATATATATATATATATATATATATATATATATATAGACACACACACACACACACACCAATATATATATAATTATGGTCATTTAATGCACAAATCTGAGAAAATTCAGTAATTTAACCTTCAAGGTCAAGGTCATTAAAGAGCCCAAGCAAATTTTGGTTTGATAAACAACAAGGTATGGTCCTTAAGAATGTTTTCTTATAATATGAAGTTGATCCCTTCCATAATAGCAAAGTTACAGTCAGTTACCGCCAAAACAATGAAAATTTCAATAATTTGACCTTCAAAGACAATGTCATTAATGAGTGAAGGTCAAGGTCTTTCGGTATATTTTTAACAGTTATCTTTGAAGATTATTATGTTCAAGTTTCAAGACAATCCATTCAAAAATAACAAAGTTACAGCCAATAAAAACCAAAAAAAAAAAAATGAAAATTTCAATAATTTGACCTTCAAAGTCAAGGTCATTTATGAGGGAAAGTCAAGGTCTGGCTGGTTATTTTTAAGGGATATCCTTAAAGATTATTATGTTCAAGTTTGAAGACAATCCATTCAAAAATAACAAAGTTACAGCTAATAACAGCATGAAAAAGCAAAAAATGGACTTTTTACCTTGAAGGTCAAGGTCATTTATGGATGAAGGTCAAGGTTAGTGTGATCTACTGAAAGGTCTTGTCCCAAGGGTTGTTGTGGCCAAGTATGAAGACACCAATGAATAAAAAAGTTATGATCCATGTACAAGTTTGCGGACGGCAACGGCAACGCCGACCTGACTATAACAATACCTCTACTTTTTTTTTCAAAAAAAAAAGTCGAGCTAAAAACGGGACAGGGCACAAGCACGGACGACAAGTAAATCACTAAAACCATAAATAATTTGTAAGTGATAATGAATTCAAGAAAATTAAAAGAAAACAAATAAATGAGTGAATAATAGGAAATAATTTGTAATTGATAAGAGATTCAAAGAAAACAAATTAATGATTTAATAATAGGCCAACAAAGTCAATGGGCACAGGGAAGGGGACTGGAGACCCGGGGAAGGGGGATATAATAAATAAGAAAAGGGGCAAAGGGAAAGATACTTACCGTAGACGTGAAAACAACAAGGGACACAGGCAAAAAGTGTCACCAAAACAAACAAACAAAAATGTCATTTTATTTTAAATAATTTATAAAGTAGACTTTTTTTGTTAAAATCATATCCATATATTTTGTCTGCACAACCAAAAAACACGACTTATTATTCCTTGTTGATCTTCTTTATTATATTTTAGACAGACATTTTGTAACTTTTAAATTTACGAAAAATATAAAGTATGTTTAGTATTTAAAACTATTTTAAAGTTTATTTATCATCAAAGATTTGTATTATGTTGATAATTTGTCGAAAGTAAAACATAATAAAATTTAGATTTTGTTCATGTCCATCTATGTTCCAATTTTACGTTTTATCATATATGTCTGCCTAATGCTGGCTCTAGTAACTAATTTTCGTATCCGACCGATTATTATTACCTTTGTCGTTATAAGTAAATATTCACAGTTGCTACATTTATTTTTGTACTGTTTTGTTTGAGAAGTACAGCAGCTTTCATGTTGAATTCTGATTGAGCCGGTGCTAGGGGGCGTAAACGGTAGTTTTCAATTGACAGTACCTTCCATGAACAGGCTCAATCAAACCAAGCCTGCAACATTTTCAAGTTGCTGTGTTGAGCTTTCTATAGAAATTCTTACTTTCTCTAGTCCATACCCCCATGAAACTCAGTTGGTGCAATCTTGTGCAGAAAGTAGCTTCCTTGAGACCTTTTTGAACATGCAATTTCTAAAAATTCCATAACATATCTTAAGCTATAAACGCCAAAACTTGAACAATTATAAAAGTGCAAATGTCGGATGGGGTGTGTGCAACGGGGGTATGTATATGAAGGTATGCCTGAATTTTAAGAAAAAAATGGGTTATAAGCTGTATTCCTGTTGTGAATTATATTTAAAGTATTATTAACATTAAAGTAAGGCGGCATTGACATTGTATTTAGAAATTTGACATGTTCTTTAACGTTTCCAGAGTACACGGTGACAACTATTGTGAAATCCTAGTGTTCTAACCTGAGCCACGCGGGTCAAGTTAGGAAACTACCAATTTATTCTTTATATGGAGAAAAGTTTTGTTCTTTTGACTGTCTAATGTATTCTTTTTGGGGGCATGTACAGAATAATGAATGAACAATCCAAAACTAAGAAATGAAAATTTTGCCTGTGTCTCCCTTTAAGTGACTGTAAAGAAATTTTCTATCCGTTACGCATTATCTATTGATTTATTCTTATTTCAAAGTTAGTTGTGTCTAACTATATAACATGAAGCAGGTGATGTGTTAGCTCTGGAATTGGGTGTATTTGTGTTTCCTCTCTAAAGTCCATACCCGTTGAGGCATTTATTCAAATTGTATCAAACGTCAAAGAAAACAAGTAAAGCATTTTGTCTAGCAGATAAATTTTCCCATTTATATTATTCATAATAAAAGCTGAAATTAAAGATTTAAAGAACAACATTACTTTGTATACTAAACAGGAAGGCAATTATAACCCTTTATCCTTGTTTACCCAATTTTTAAAGGTGATTTAATTTGAGCACAGCGCTTTTATTTGAACAAACTTGGTAGACACTTAGTAGAAGATGTTTGATGATCAATATCTAAGCTCTAGAAATATTGGCTATTTAGTCAAGATTTTACATTAAACAAGTAGAGAAAATCAATGATTCCCGTGACGGGTCCCACTTTGTCCCCATGACTTTTAATTGAACAGACATAGTAGACACACAGTTGTTTCATGCTAAATATATAAGCTCTAGCTGTTTGGGCTTTTTAAAAAAGATTTTTTTAGCTCACCTGAGCTAGCTCAGGGTGAGCTTTTAGGATCGTTGAATGTCCGTCGTTCGTCCACACTTGTTCGTTAACACTCTAGCGGTCACATTTTTGCCTCAGTCATCATCAAAATTAGTCAGGATGCTTATCAAGGTAATAGCTCGGATCGGTCCGAACATGGGTCATCTCGAATGAAAAACTAAATCACAGGATGTAAAAAAAAGAAAACCTTCTTAACACTCTAGTCTGTCAGATCTGTCAGGATGCTTGTCTAGGTAATAGCTCAAATGAGTTTTAACATCTAAGATGAAAAACTAGGTCACAGGAGCTAAAAATAGAAAAATCATGTTAATCCCCTTTCATAATTCCATTTTATTTAGTTCCGCCCATTGTTTTCTCGTTTAGGGCACACGCCTTTTATTACTTGGGGACCATACGCCGCTTTTTATGGAATGGCACGGAAGTGTCTCATTGAAGGTTCCATGATAACCGCCGTATGAACACATCTGCGGATGTTTCTTAATTCAAAATTTTACTATTTCATGTTTAAATGTTGAATTCTGCTTAAGCCGGTGCTAGGGGGCGTGGACGGTAACTTGCACTTTCCAGTACCGTCCATGAACAGGCTCAATCAAACCGAGCCTGCAACATTTTCAATTTTGCCGTGTTGGGCTTTCTTTGGGGATTCTATATTTATCTATTTTATGATCACATCCGTGTTATTTGTGCCGTGTGGCGGCTGTAAAAAGTCTCCCCGTACATTTAATCAATGATGTTATATTTTCGATCCTTAAAGATCGTTCAGCACGACATTATTGTTGTGCTTGTGGTATTTTTAGTTTCAACTTTTCGGCATTTCTAGTTGGGTGGTTCCAATATTCCTACTTGAATCATGTTGAATCACCCTTAGGATATGTTGCCTGCTTTTTAAATTTGTCTTTTGACGTCTTATCTGTGATACGCAGGCTTCATAACCTCTGATCCCCTTTCATAATTCCATTTTATTTAGTTCCGCCCATTGTTTTCTCGTTTAGGGCACACGCCTTTTATTACTTGGGGACCATACGCCGCTTTTTATGGAATGGCACGGAAGTGTCTCATTGAAGGTTCCATGATAACCGCCGTATGAACACATCTGCGGATGTTTCTTAATTCAAAATTTTACTATTTCATGTTTAAATGTTGAATTCTGCTTAAGCCGGTGCTAGGGGGCGTGGACGGTAACTTGCACTTTCCAGTACCGTCCATGAACAGGCTCAATCAAACCGAGCCTGCAACATTTTCAATTTTGCCGTGTTGGGCTTTCTTTGGGGATTCTATATTTATCTATTTTAACACTCTACTGGTCACATTTTTAACTCAATCATCATCAAAATTGGTCAGGATGCTTGTCTAGGTAATTGCTCGGATGAGTTTGAATATAGGTCACCTGAGGTCAAAACCTAGGTAACATCGTCCAAATGAAAAAACCTTATAACACTCTAGTGATAACATTTCTGACTCAGTTATCATCAAAGTTGATCAGGATGCTTGTCTATGTAATTGCTCGGATGAGTTCGTACATGGGTCATCTCGGATGAAAAACAATATCACAGGAAATAAAAATAAAAATAGAACAAAATTACATGAAAATTGAAGATTTGGTTTGATTGGGCCTGTACATGAGGGATAATGAATAAGTGCAACATCCTTCACGCCCCCTAGCACCGGCTTCAGCGGTACTCAATTCTCAACATCTATAATTGCTGGAGCCAATGATCTCGAAGAACCAGACAAATATAACACTGAAGTGAAATATGGGCAACTTTTTACAGCTGCAACAGAGCACTTGACACCTGTTGTCGTGAAGTATAAACATCTGAAAACAATGTGATCACTTTGAAGCAATAATCACAACAAAATTACATGAAAATTGCAGACTCGGTTTGATTGAGCCTGTACATGAGGAATAATGAATAAGTGCAACATCCCTCAAGCCCTCTTGCACCGGTTTCAGCGGTACTCAATTCTCAACACCTATAATTGCTGGAGTCAATGATCTCGAAGAACCAGAAAAATATAACACTGAAGTGAAATATGGGCAACTTTTTACAGCTGCACCACAGCACTTGATACCTGCTGTTGTGAAGTATAAACATCTGAAAACAATGTATTCACTTTGAAGCAATCATCACAACAAAAGTACATGGAAATTGCAGGCTAGGTTTGATTGACTTAAAGGGTAATGAAAAAGTGCAACATCCCTCACGCCCCGTATCACCGCCTTGAGCGGTACTCAATTCTCAACACTTAATAGTGCTGGCATCAAGAATTCTGATTTCGAAGGACCAGAAAACCCTCAGTTGAGATTTAATATTAAAAATGTGTTTAAAAATACTTTCACCTTAAAGGCACACGACATTAATATAGATATTTCAATTTAAATATGTACGTATTTTATATTAACATGACTAGACAGAAGGTTCTAATTTTACTGGTAAGCCTCAGGGGCCCCTCTACATTATTTCAAGCACAAACCTGGGAAGAACTGCCGATGTTTTATAAGCTAGCCGAATAGCCTTGTCAAAATACATATTGTGGTTAAAATAAGGAACTGAAGCATACAAATAATAAAATATGATAAACAAGATCAACAAGGAAAGTCGGCGTTCAATGAACGCAACCCCATCCAATGCCTAATTGCAAGGTGTGCGACTAGGCATCGAACAGGGAACACTAGATTTTTTTGTGTTAATTAGCGTTTTTAAAATTCTTGAATGTGAATTGTCATTATTAAGAATGTGCATTGTTATATATTGGTAATACAAGTTACCTTTGGGAAATATAGGACAATATAGACTTCCTTAGATATATATATCACCCTCGGCTGACACCTCAGACTTGATTGATCTCAGTCAAGCTATATTCTACTGTATATCTAATCAGCAACTTGTATAATTAAGATAACATATAATGTGGTCTGCCTAAGGTGTATTCTGTGATACATATATATCTTGGTCTGCCTAATACTGGTTTAAGGTTTAGGTCTGCCTAATAGACCTAAAAGAAAACAAATCTTTTACAGTTTTAAAGAAAACAAAATTAAAACGTAACTGTACATGTTTTTGTAATCAACATGTTCTTATTTTTTCTTTGTGATCTTCAGTACTTATCAACATGTATAAGGATTTGACAAAAAAGAAACAAACATATAATGTATTGCAGGCACCAAAGCACAATGATATAACGCTGACACTTAAAATGCTAGATTTTGGCTCAGCCAGTTGTGAGGAGGAAAGTATAATCATTTACGAAGGAAACAGTACACGTAAGTTTTATATTTTATAGAATACTATCATTAAATGTAGAGTGTATTTAAAAAAAAACAGGAACCATCTTTAAAAACTAAACTTGTAAGGATTTATCTAAACGTTGTCCTGTCCGTTCGTGTTTTTATTTGTCCATCTGGTTTTTAGAATCTGTTGTTGACAAATTAGAATGTATAGGTTATAGCTTACAAAAAGGTGTTATTGTAATAATAGTGAAATAATTGAAAAATATATCAGCAGGACAATATAAATCAGTTTGTGCCACTCATTTAAGTTGTTAAACATAAAATTACTCTAAAAGGTTGTGCGTTTAAAGCGATTATATTCTGAAATTCTCTTTTTTTTTACTTTCCTCCGTATCACTACAAGTCCGATTGCTTATTGCACAAAAAAATAACAAATAAATCAAAACTTCTTCATTCCGTTATTACTTCCAATTTTTGTGACCCCATATATCTTGATAAAATTAATTCCTGTTTACGAGGTATGATCAAAAAGTTCTCGGCTCATTATATATTTAGCCACTACACTGACATTTACACACGATACGTCGAAACCGGTATCTCATTGAATATTACTGACCGAGTTACACGCGGTGTTCCTCAGATGTATGTCTATGTTGTTTTATACTGTTTTGGTGACACTTTTGCTCGTGTCTCTTGTTGTTTCTCGTCTACGGTAAGTAATTTCCCTTGTCCCTGGTTTATATTTATTTTATCCCCCCCCCCTTCCCCGTGTCTCATGTCCCCTTCCCCTGTGCCTTTTGACATTGTGGGCCTTTATTTGTTTTTTTTTATTTCCTTATAAGTTACTTATTATGTATTCTGATGTAGTGGTTTGCCTGCCCGTTGAATGCCGCCTTTCCTTGTCGATCTTGTTTATCATGTTTTACACTGATTAAGTTACATAAAATACACTTAAATTATTAATGAGATGTGTCATTAAGACCAAATGGAGAAAGTTGAAATCCGAGCTGCAATAAGTACCTCTGTAAGAAAAGGATGTCCCCTAAGGAAATCCATGAAGACTTCATGGATACACTTGGGAATGAGTCCCCTTTCTATAGCACTGTGAAAAAATAAGGGCTGCTCCTATAAGAGCGGCAGGGAGAGCATTGTAGATTATGAGCGGCCTCGGCGGCCAAAAGAGGCCACGAACAATTAAACTGCCGAAGTTGTGCACGATCTGGTCATGTGCGACAGAAGGCGAGACTTGCGAATCATAGCTAGGGAAGTGGGTATAAATTTTGGTTCAGTTCAGGCAATTCTGAATGATGTCTATGACATGTCAAATGTTTCCGTTAGATGGGTTCCAGACAGTTGTCTGACGACCAGAAACGGACCAGGCTTGACAATTTAAGATATACTTTGTCTCGCAACGAGGATAAAATATGAAAAACAAGATCAACAAGGAAAGGCGGCGTTCAATGAACGCAACCCCCATATGACCCAGCAACAAGAACCAATGGCAAGGAGCCCAGGCGGACCCCAAACATAAAAAGGACAGGGCAACGACACGTTAATCATTAAATGATAAATAATTTGTAACTGATTAGGAATTCAAAGAAAATAATAATAGGCCCACAAAAGGGAAAGGGACAGGAGACCGGGGGAAGGGGGGGGGGGGGTTAATCAAAGAAATAAAAACTAGAGGCAATGGGGAAGATACTTACCGTAGACGAGAAAACAACAAGGGACACAAGCAAAAGTGTCACCAAAACAGTATGAAACAACATAGACATACATCTGAGGAACACAGTGGGGCGCCGCCTTGGAACGGTCAGCAGCATAATAATGACTGCTGGGGAGTTTAAACCGGTTAATGGTGCACCAAACCTCGCTCTTAGCCCCACCATGTTCCTATAAACGAGACAGTGTAAATAAAATGAATCCCCGCCAAGTGAAATTCTAACAGTTGTCATTTTAAACCCGATTTTATTTACCGGATAGTAACTGAGGATGAAGCATGGGTCCATTACTTCGATCCAGAATCCAAAGAACAGAGCATGCATTGGAAGCACCCTGGCTCAACCCCTCCGAAGAAATTCAAGAAGGTGCCATCAGCAAAAAAGATGATGGCTTTAATTTATTGGGATAGTCAGGGGATTATCATTGTTGACTATCTTGAGCAAGGTCCGATCATAGACGATACGTACTATGCAGACTAATTGTGATGTCTGCGTCAAGAAATCGCGCGTAAAAGGAGGGGCAGACTAACTCAAGCCGTTCTGCCTCATCCCCCATATTGCCTCCCCCATCTGACTTCTACCTGTTTACGAAACTGAATTAGCTTCGTGGTAGATGTTTTCGAAGCAATGAAGGTGTCATAGAGGCGGTCCATGAGTTTTTTTAGGACCAAAATAGAAAGTTCTATTTTGAACGGTTCAACAAGTTGGAACACGGGTAGGCAAAGTGCATTGATATAGAAGGCGATTATATTGAAAAGTAAGACCATTTGTTGGGTTCTCTGACTACCGGAAGTACATCAGGCAAAGAACTTTTTGATCAATCCTCATACCTATATTTCTTGGTATACGTATTGTCCTTAGATATGATTATTGCTAGTGTAAGAAAGCATTCAATATGTATTTTTACTTCACGTCAACTTGCAATCACAGTAGAGATAATTTCAATTTCCGTTATGTAAAAACGTATGTATAAGTCCAGATTAAGAAGTACTTTATCGCTTCTTCACAAGCAAAGAATATTCTAGATTCCTTATATTTTTTGTTTAGAAACATTTACCTGTAAACAATGACAATATCAAATGCAATATCTTAATTTACTTACATAACTTTTAAAACTAATATATATTTTGTTTGTAGTCTTACCATTTTAGCACTAACAGCTGAACTAATTAAATATTTTCTATCTCATTTAAGCACAATTAACATTTGCATAATATGAATAAAAATGTCAAAGAGCGTTCTTTAAAATTAGTCACTGTCGTTCTTTTATATGTTGTTTTCAATATGATTTTTCAGAAGGGAGACCTTTAGGTACAATATGTAGTGATAATGATCTCGGAATATTACCATACCGTGCAAGTTCAATGTTTATTGAGTACAGGAATCCTCTGGAACTAGACGGTGGACGTTTTGAAATAGAATACATGTTTGTAGAGGACAACTTAATATCATCAACGAGCCATTCTTCGGTTAGGGAAAATGATGGTAATGCTTACTGTTTTTACTGTTTTGTCAAAGCACAACAAATAAAATCAATTATTTAAGGTAATTCTGGAAACAAAGTGATCCCTCGGAAGCATTAATCACAACAAAATAACATAAGAATTGCAGACTCGGTTTGATTGAGTCTGTACATGAGGGATAATGAATAAGTGCAACCCTAATGGGCACTATAAGGAACTGTGAAAATGACAACATAGGACAGTTAATTATATAATTAAAATCAAACACTTTTATCTTTCCAAAATGGATCTGAGAGATACATGAATAATGTTAAAGAAAAAAAAAATGAAACAAGTTGCCCCCTGTGTGGTTTAAACCCATACCCCTCAGTTTCAATGCAGTTGATTTTAATTCTAGCCTATTTGAATACTTTTCAATGCAGAGGTTAATAAATTAAGGGGATCTAACCTTACTTTTGACAAAATAGATAAATACAGAATCCCTAAAGAAAGCCCAACACGGCAAAATTGAAAATGTTGCAGGCTCGGTTTGATTGAGCCTGTTCATGGACGGTACTGGAAAGTGCAAGTTACCGTCCACGCCCCCTAACACCGGCTTAAGCAGAATTCAACATTTAAACATGAAATAGTAAAATTTTGAATTTAGAAACATCCGCAGATGTGTTCATACGGCGGTCATCATGGAACTTTCAATGTGACACTTCCGTGCCATTCTATGAAAAGCGGCGTATGGTCCCCAAGTAATAAAAAGCGTGACAAAACGTGTGTCAAGGAAACGAAAAATTTTCAAATGTATTACAATGTAAACTGCAAAATCCGAATGTTTTTGAATGGAATGTGGCAAATAATAACTAGGGGTGCGTTTCATAAAAAATCTTAGGACCGATTTTAGTCGTAAGTGAAAAACTGTGGTAAAACTGCGTTTCAAGAAAAGTCCGTAGTACAATTTTAAGACTAAATTTAGGACTATTTCTATGGATGCCTCACGGCACTCCTTACTTTTGTCTTAAAACAAGTGCTTAAAAAAACATTGCAGTTCTTGTTTAATTGTCTGATATATTTTTACGTATATACAGTAGGCATATATGGTATGCATTGAAGTGAAAACCTTTCTTAAATATAAACATGTTTATTTTGAGCTAACCAGTGTCATAATAGGATTTATTAGTGAAAGCAAATCCGTACCACTCATAGTATATGACTGACATTGTGACTGATATTGCTTTGCCGGACTTAGTTTGGCGTATATCTTATTTTCAAAATTCAGTATTTTTTTTTAATTTACATAAACTTCAAACACGCTTTACATTATTCCCCTATAACAGATAAGGCAGTGTACATTATTCCCCTATAACATATAAGGCAGTCAAGTGCATTATTACCAGATAATAGATAAATATAGAATCCCTAAAGAAAGCCCAACACGGCAAAATTGAAAATGTTGCAGGCTCGGTTTGATTGAGCCTGTTCATGGACGGTACTGGAAAGTGCAAATTACCGTCCACGCCCCCTAGCACCGGCTTAAGCAGAATTCAACATTTAAACGTGAAATAGTAAAATTTTGAATTTAGAAACATCCGCAGATGTGTTCATACGGCGGTAATCATGGAACCTTCAATGTGACACTTCCGTGCCATTCCATGAAAAGCGGCGTATGGTCCCCAAGTAATAAAAAGCGTGTGCCCTAAACGAGAAAACAATGGGCGGAACTAAATAAAATGGAATTTTGAAAGGGGATTATTGAAAGGCCTTATTATTACTACATGACATTTACATGATATAATTATGCATGACATAAAAAATGGAAGGATAGCACATCATATGAAGTCAGATATGACGTCAATAAACCACATGACGTCATAAAAATAACTTCTACGCGAATTCAACTGATTTAATTGATTATTTTGATTGAAATAGATAATATTTTCTTATGTTACAGTAAAATAACGCACGATTAATCATTCAAATGTTTTGTAATAAATTACTAAAATAGATAAAATACAGAATCCCTAAAGAAAGCCCAACACGGCAAACTTGAAAATGTTGCAGGCTCGGTTTGATTGAGCCTGTTCATGGACGGTACTGGAAAGTGCAAGTTACCGTCCACGCCCCCTAGCACCGGCTTAAGCAGAATTCAACATTTAAGCCTTAGTTAGACAACTATTACATTTCAGCGCATTTGAACTCAAAAGGTACATTATCCTACAACAATTCACGCAAAATTTACATTCATTTCCTAAAAATAAAGAAGTTGTTTTGTTTCATTTCAGTAAAATATGAAACATAATTTAAATAATCATGTGTGCCATATGCTCTTTATAAGAATAATTTTAAAAGAAACTCAAAATTTTTTTAAGTCCCCTTAGATCTACATTATAACATTGATGATATGAAGTAAGATAATAGATAAGAAATATCAATGAATAAATGTCAATTATAAACCTTAAATATATTTTGTGTCTGCTTAACCATATGTCATTTTACACTATCTAATTGCAGGATAAGACACATTTCAAAATTATGTAAGCTAGGTATAAGTGGAGAAGCTTTGCGAATTTTCACATGTTAAATCATGTGTAAAGGTTTGTAACTCTTACTCGGACATTTTTGCATGCGCACTGAGCTTGAAACAGGGGCAGATAATGTCGCCTCTACTATTTTCTATTTTTATAGAGGACATAGAATTGTTAATACTAGATAGCCCGTTGTGTGGTTTAACTTTTGACGATATTACTTTTATTCTTTTTTTATTTGCTGACGATATGGTTTTACTTGGTAACATTCCGTGGAATTACAGCATAGTCTTGATTTGCTTAATGAATATTGTGATAAATGGAGGCTTGAAGTCAACACTGATAAAACGAAAAAGTGTTGCATTCAGAAATGCAAACGAAAGATGGGCATACAATGGTAGCTTAATAACAACTGTAAATAACTATAATTATCTAGGCACTGTTTTTAATTATACAGGCTTTTATACTTTAAATCAGACGACATTAGTTGGTAAAGGATTAAAAGCTTTGAATGGTTTAATACATAAAACAAAACAGTATGCTGTTAAACCCTCTGTTATGCGCCAACTCTTTGACGCTTTTGTTGCCGCCCCCTTGAATTACGGATGCGAAATATGGGGCTTTAGAAAATCGAAGAAATAGAACGTGTTAATTTAAAATTTTGTAAATAATTATTAAATGTTAAAATATCAACTAGGATTTATGGAGAGTTAAGTCGATTTCTATCGTATAAAAATAGATATGTAAGAATTATTAAATTTTGATGCAAAACTGTATCGACGGAAATATCTTGATAAGAAACCTATATGATTGTCTACTTGAAATAAAGAATAATAAAAATAATTGGTTTATAATGTTAAATCTATTTTAGATAAATACAGCTTTTTCTATGTAAGGTACAATCCAGGTACAGTTTACATGCAACAAAAATCATGTTTTGTTTAAAGGAAGAGTAATTGATGTTTTTAAACAAAATTGGGAACTTAAGTTATCTACCAGTAAAGTAACGTTTTGATATATAAAAACTATTTTTGAATTTGAATCTTATATAGACATTTTACCTAAAAGGTTTAGGATTGCTACATCCAGACTGCGTTTATCATCACATAAACAGAGAATTGAAACAGGCAGGTATGCGCCAAATAGAATTGATCGCAAACAAAGAAAATGCTTACTTTGTAACAGAAACTATATAGAGGATGAATATCATTTTGCAATCATTTGCCCGTTTTACGACTTTTATAAAATCTTACTATTACAGACATCCAAGTGTTTACAAATTTGTAGAATTGATGCAATCTAGGAATTTTAAAATAGTAAAGAATAGTAGTAAATAGTAAATTTTGTATAGAGCTTTTTCTGTTAGAGCGAGTCAAATTGTTAAGTTTTTCATATCAGTTATACTATCTACTAGTAATTGTAATTCGCATATTGTACTTAAATTAATCTAGGTTGTGTATATTTTTTGTATTCTTAATTCACATAATCTTTCTCCATCTCCGTTAGATAAATATTATTTTTTTACCGTGGCGTACATGCTTACGTGCGTGCGTGCGCGCGCGCGTCTGTGTGTGTGTTTACTTTCTCCAACTATGTTATGCACTAATTTCAATGTTTCTATGTATGCCTTGTCAAGTGATTATAAATTTGTATTATATGTTACTAGTATTTGTTTTAACGAAAAACTTGTAAAAGTGTAAGTTTAAAAGTATCTGTCTGTCTGTCTGTCTGTAAAGCATAAAATATTTTCCGGGAGTTTCTTAGTTATCAATGTGTATAACTTCCTTTTTCAAAATCGCAATACAGTAATGTCGCTGTACCCTTAAGAACATCATTTTTGTAGACATTAATATATTAAATTTGTTTCGGTTTGGTGCATTTAGGTACTTAATGGGTAAATATAATTTTTTTAGTTCTTAATAAAAATCACAGCATAGTAAAAAAAAGAAACTATTCTTAGAACATTCTGTGCTGATCGTTTTTCCCTCAATATCTTTTTATGTCGACTAACCTCAATTTCAAGATCATGTGACCCTATTCTAAAATTTGAGTATAGATTCTTCTATATGTTTAAATTTTCTAATGTCTAAAACATCTAAGTAACATTCATATGAGAATTTTCCTTAAACATACCATAAAATGACAATTTTACATTAAAATTTACAGATGAATGCCACACTTGTTTATTCTAACACGATCCGCATTTTTTCCCTATGCGGACAATAAGACGGAACAAAAGTGGTGATTTGCTAATAGAGTTGTTTGTTTGTTTGATTGTTTCATTTTACGTCAACTTATTCAGTCATATAGCGTAGTCTAACCCCGTTCCTAAAATCTAGACGCGTTCCTGCGCTATAAAAGCACTGGGAAACCAACAGAGAGGCGTAAAGTCATGCTTAATAAGCAGGTACGGCAACGTTTATTTGTTTATGTCGTGTTAGAATCGAAATAATATATTCAAATCGGTGATTTTATCACTGGATAACATCACTGTTTGTCGTTCGGATGCGCATCATTATATCACTCGGGCTACGCCCTCGTCATATAATTTCTCGCATCCGAACTCCAAACAGTGATGTTATTGAGCGATAAAATCACAGTTTGGGATATATTATTTCTTAAACCTATTTACAAATTGTGCTATTAAGTATTTTTCTGGTGTAACTAATTGACTTTCCCATACATATCAAAAACCATGACTTTGTTAAAATTTTCTTAAAGTTGTCACCCAATTGTCATGTCCCTGTATATCATCGTTAAACATCATTAAATAACACTTTTTAACTAATCTTATGTTTGTCATTTTAATAAGTTTTAACCAATAGTTAATACACATCTTAATGGATACTATGTACATGGGATACGGCGCAGTCGCCTAATACAGTTAAATTAGTAATTCTGTTAACAACACATAAAACGTTTGCATGCATAATATTGTACCCGTTCTAGCTCTTCAAATTTACCCATGCCCCAAATTTCAGCCCCATTTAGTAACTGAGGTCATATTTTAGTATCAAACAGTTTAAAAAATACTTTCTTACTTAATTGGCCACAATCATACAAGGATTTTGCTTTATTAATAGTCCATTATGTCAGAGTTTTTATAATCACCCGATGATTATGACATGGGTGTTGATGATGAATAGCGCATGCAGCAGAACATATTTGTTTCTTTTTTGTCTTTTAAGCTCACCTGCGCACGATGTGCTAAATTGTGATCGGTCATTGTCCGGCATGCGTCCATCCGTCCGTACGTAAATTGTTTATGCTATAAAAAAAAATGACGTTTTGTCGAAATGAAATAAGCCTAAATTGCTGAGGCTTTGAAGCTTTGTTGAGTATTTTATAATATCAGAACATTGAACGTATCACCATGCTATCGATTTGCTTTTTCTGTTTCATTTCACACAATACTCCAATCGTCCTGAAAAATCAAAATTAATCGGATGCGCCTCACAGAACATGTGGACAGAACATGTGGGATATTCCGACCATGGGTGTGGTTAGGGTTTCATTGAAAATATCCAACAGCGCTAACATTCATACTGAATAAATCATTGTCATTTGAAACAAATTAATAATTATATTGTAGTAAGGTTGGGGATGAGTGTGATATTTTTTAAGTTGGCTCCGTTTCGTTGGGCAAACTACCAATACAGGTAATGGTATTTAACGAAATAAAAATGGTAAATCTATTTTATAAATTAAATTATGAAAATATTTTAGTTAAATTAATTAATTAATTAATTAATAAGTATAAGAGTTTTTTTATTACTGAAGATAAGTGTGCCTTTTAAAATTCTATTCTATTTAGTTACGCCAATTGTTTTCTCGTTTAGGGCACACGTATTTGTTTAAGGTATTTCAATCCTAATGCATTACCTCCGCTTTGAAGAGTTTTCAAATAGGCTAGAACTACTGTTAACTACATTGAAAATGAGGGCCGTGGGTTCAATCCCCAGAAGGGTCAACTTTTTTTTCTTTCTTTTCTTCTTTTAACATTATTTATGTATCGCTCATGTCCCATTTGAAAAGAAAAAAGTGTTTAATTTTGAGTTTTTAATTTATATAGGTATTAATTGGCTAAATTATGCTTAATTTAGTAATAAATATGGTACCTGATATTTTCTAACAGTAATAAAATCAAAACTCGACGGTAAAAGTATTTCATATTTTACAAGATCAACCAATATACTTCTCTAAACAATTTAGGGAAACTTTGAAAACAGGCACTCATTTGGGTATATTTTAAGGATTTTTTAAATTAGGCTCCCATAGTAGGAAAATGGTCAGACACGTAGTAAAAATGGTTGGGGTAGGGTGACATTTTTATACAGATTTCATAAATTTTAAGTAGAAACCATAATTTTGCTATGTGGATTGTTAGCTGAATGGTACTATTTGTTTCTAACCAAAAATTAATGGGAAAACATTTTTCATTGGAATGTTATTGCAAATTATTTAAAGGTTCCTCATTTTTTAAAAAAGGGCCCTCATAACATCCTAGCTTGAGTTCAGAAAAGTGGCCATAACTTGATTTCCGTACGGTAAACTTTGTTTAAATTTTGCATACAGGTGCACTTTAAGGTATATATCTGACCTATGATGTCAACTTTTTAGTTCCTTATAGTGCCCATTAGGGTGGTAATACCTTAATTGGGGACCATACGCCACTTTTCATGGAATGGCACTACTGTGTCACATTGAAGGTTTCATGATAACCGCCGTATGAACACATCTGCGGATGGTTCTAAGTTCAGAATTTCACCATTTTAATGTTTAAATTTGGAATATTGCTTAAGCCGGTGCTAGGATGCGTGGACGGTAATTTGCAGTTGACGATACCGTCCATGAATAGGCTCAATTAAATTCAAATAATTAAATTAATAGAATTTATAATAATAGGGAACTTGGTACAGTTTTTATACACAGCATTGCATGTGGTTTCATATATATTTTTTAACCCAAATAGTGTGTACAATTACAGCTATACACCATAGGTAATTTGTAGTACAGAAATATATAGGGCGTTCAGGCAAAACAATGTCGTTAGTGTTGGAACTTACTGCGGGTCATATTAAACTGAGTATGAGTACTGAGTAGAGTATGCAGATGAATGTGATATTTTTGTTGGTTCCGTTCTGTTCCGCGAAGTACCAATTCCCATATAGATAACGCGGGATATAACGGAACGGAACATGATAAATGTATTTTTTTTAGATAAATTATGATAATTTAATTTAGATAACTTATAGTATTATTGAACTAAGTATTATGTTTTTTTTATTTATTTCTGAAGATTTAATAATTTTCAAACTGTATATGTAAGATTGCAGTAGTACCACATAGGGTGTCTCAAACCTTCTTCCGTCCCGTTTTGCAAAATACCAATAACCTTTATCTACTCGCATTTAATTATTTAATTGATTGACTGTCATTATTTAATCTAAAAATGCAAATACCGTAAATTGCACTGTTTTACAGCACCATGTGGTGAAGAAATTGATTTAGAACTGATCGACGGTGTAGCTGAAATTCAGCTCCGGACGGAATTATTCAACGGCATAGAATTCTACAGGTATTATGTAATTGTTAGATATAATAAAGCAAGGTTCTAAAAAGGTCCGCTCCTACGTGACATGAATATACGAGTACCCAGTGAAAAGAAACAACAGAATAAATGCAGCAAACTCTTATCTCAAACGATATATAGTTCACTTATACAGTGTAATTTGAAAATCTGTTACGTATCATAGAAGGTGAAGCTTACTTTTTCCCATAGGAAAATAAAGAAAAACCCCATCAAAACAACCAATCTTGTTTCTCACAAATTGTTAAGGTACGTACTCTCAAAAAATAGATATCAAGTAGAATATTAAAGTTTTATAGAGAGTATACTACATGTATCATCAAAACTTTTATGAAATTTGTTTTGAAAATCAATTATCTGAAGATTTCAGTGAATACCAACTGCTTTTTCTTTTGTCATGTCCAGATACATTTAAGGTAAGCAAATCCTTGATTATGTTACACTTTATCAGTCATGTCAATAAACTAACTTTGTAATTTTCCAAAGTGTAAAAGTTTGATTTTGTTTTCTCAGCCATCATTTATATAACAGTTTTTGAACATGTACTTTTTTCCAAAGCGGCATGCCTTCCGATGAGCCGAAATATTGCAAGAAAATAAAACTTGAGAAAAATGTACTGATATTTTAAAAAAGTAAAAAGATTAAAGTTATAATTTACATGATATGTGAACTTATTGACTGATTTTGCAGTATTTATCATCGTATTTCTACTTCGTGACTAACACAGTAAGGGCTATTTACGCATATTTCGACCTTGATAGTTCATTTACGTGAATTGTAAGTAGAAAGTGCTATGTGTTATTACTCTTTTTATTCACTACACACTGTTTTACATTTAAATACATTTTCAAAAACAAAGATCATGAAAGTTAGCATGAATCATCTGGAGGCACGCTATCTTACTAAAATTAATACAACATCTACAATAGATTCTACATTTTAAAGGTAAACAATCGATCTGATCAATAGATTTATACTGTATTCGTTTTCATGTATATTTAGGAAATAGATATCAATTCTGCGTGCATTGTTGTAGAATAATGCACGGTTTCAGTTCAAATGCGCAGTTATATAATCACGAAGGCCGAAAGGCCTGAATGATTAATTACAAAGCATTTGAACGAAAAACGTGCATTATTCTACAACAATGCACGCAGAATTGATATCTATTTCCATTCTAACACGTCAATGAAAAATAGCATGATTATTATTATATAGTTGGACTTTATTTTTGGTGGTTAAATAAAGGCTGTTCCCGTGGGTTGAAACAAAACTGTCGTTAAAACTACCGTGTGTAGAAACATTTTAAGAATAACGAATTTTGAAAACGTTGATAAAACTTTGTTTGTTTATTTTATTTCCCTCTAAAAGTTTTCAAGCGAAATACAAATTATTAAAAGTAAAATGAGTGTAAAACTTAACTCGTTTGCGACATTTAAATAGCATACTTGATTTGATTGTTTTACACGTGATGTTTGGCGCTACATTGTGACGTCACATAAACAACACTTTAAACGTCTGTACAGCGTTAACGACTGAATTAAAGATATTGGTGTTAAGATTCATTTTCTTAGTTAGACCATTTTCCTTCATTCAAGATAGTTTTCACAACAAAATTCGACAATTTTTTTTTTTTATTTATCAGATTTTTCAAACAAAATGGCGCCCTCAATGTGAAAATACACAGGGAGATAAAAAGAACGGCGGGTGCGTTGTTGTAGAATAATGCACGCTTCGGGCCTTCTTTGTTTATATAGAAAAAAACCCGATAGTGTTAGAATAACATTCTAATCATCTTTCAATTCAGAGTAAATGAAAACTGTACATGGACGCTAAAGACAGCTCAAGATAATTTCATGATCTTAAAATCCGACTACTTCATCGTCGAAGAAAGCGAGAACTGTATGTAAGTAACCAATAGTTTTTTTAAAATGCATATTATAACCTATATAAAGCTAGTACAATAGAGTAACTGGGAGTCATTTTCTGTCTCAGAACTTACAGTTATACAAAAGGTGTATTTACTGTAATTCACAAACTATTCGTACAATTTAAACGAACATTTATGAAAATTCGTTGAAAAATGACCGAATTTCAACGGGATCAAAAGGAGCTTAGACATGCCCTCTTAGAGGACTGGGCTTGAATCCCACAAAACGCCGTTCGCTGGCTTATTAGCAGCACGAGGAGGCGGCATAAGGCCTTAGTCAACGCAAATAGGCACCGCACTCGATATTGACGACATCTTTAAACTGTCGCTGACTTTCAAATCAATCCACTTGTATCACCTATGCACAAACACATAAAAGCCGCCTTATCCAGACTACACCGTTGTCACGTGTCCGTGAGTAATCAGAACATAACAAAAACATCAAATTAATACACTTTAATATCAAAATTATCAAAATATAAATTTTAACTAATTAATTGTTTTGTATATTTACTAGAATACAATCGAATAAGTGATTCCTATAATTTTTGAGTCGTATATTAAAAAGATATCACACTAGTTAAAATTCATCTACCACTCGTAGAATGCATATTAACTTAAGGATCAACAACGGCCATGTTTTATTGCAACCTCTTCTAAATTTGGCCAGTTATAACCCCATTTACATTTCCGTTCAGGTTAGGGAAGTAACCACTGCGAAAAATTGGTAGTGTATCCACAAACGGTTGCGGTAACGGTTACTTCCCCTAATCAGAAGGGAGTTTTGTTTAGCAGACACTCGGCCTTTGGTCCAAAATTTAATGATTATTAAGTTCACAACGACTTTTTGATCAAATTTTATGTTGAATTATTGCCAGAGTCAATTCTTAACTTTGAACAGTGACCCAGGTTAAGTGTTTAACATTCAAAAATGAAAAGAAAATACAATTTTCAACTGTCAACTGGGTCAAAATTCAATATTACTCCAGCAGCATAAAAATTGAATCGATGCAACACTAAAGATACCAAAGATGCGTTGATGTATAGCTAAGAATTTTTCTATGACTGATACTTAAACATCTCTGGCATCTTTTACCCAACACAAACGACACAGATATGAAAATCCAAGACACTATAACCGGTATTACCAGATTAAATAGTGCCAAAAAGTTGCAATTCAAATTGTTATAAACTAGGTTTTATTGATCTACTGTTCCTGGCCTTTATATGAAGAAAGTTACGAAATATTTTTGAAAAAATATACAACGGCCATCATAGAATAATTAGTATATTGAAATTGTCATTCAATGAAATTCGGCATATGGTACCAAAAATAAAAGTCACGTGGTAGAACCTCTTTAATTAGATTATTGTAGGTAACAAATATGTATGGAAATCTGCATCGTTACGTTACACAGAGCTTTGTTTTCACAATACCGGTAATTCACTACAAATTCATAAAAATCAACACTTCACTGTTACAAAATGTAGTGCTTTCGTCTTATGGTATAAGCTATACTTAAATTATATTCCTCCTTACCACTTAAAGTGTTATACACTTATGGTACAATGTCGTAGCCTGATAAATTTACACCGACGGAGGCACCATTGTGTGTGTTCCCACGAAGTATATTATTTCTAACATTTTTCCACTACATTCTCGGATCTTGATCGTATTTTATTGTTTTTCTCTTTTATGAGCTTGTGAACTTGTGAAGTTTTTTTTATTCCCTATAATTATATCGTCATTTAAAGTCAACATTTTGAAAGGAGATATAAAGCAAAGTTTGCCAGAGGCATTTTTGTTCAAAATATAAGAATAGTTTCAGCTCCACACCAGTCGCAAACAAGGGTAAATGGTAAGGACATCCACCGCTGCCAGGACTTTATCCAGATAGGCTATGTAAATCTTTTGTAAATACATGCTGCCCTTTTGGCAATATATTTGGATTTCGAACATTACTTTTTTTTCTTGCTGATAGGTATCAGTTAAATAAAATTGTAATTTTGGACGTTTGAGATGACAGCTCTAACACAACTCTTGAAAGTTTTTGCTCTGTAAAAGCTCAAAACAGTTTGCTAACGTTTTTAAAAAGAAGATACAAAACATTGACAACGAATCAATTCTGATCATTGTTTTAAGTTGAAGATTCAGTCACTGTTGTGACGTAAATGTACTTTATAGTTGATACACGAACATTTATGAATAATGTGGATAGAACTTTAAGGACAAACTTTTAGAGTTTGTTTTAAATAGCGTGATTGAGATTATTTTTGTTTAGTTTGTAATTTTATATATGAAATAGTACTTTTGTGAGGCTGAAACGAATGACTCTTTTTCATTGTATAATCTTAGATGTTTGATAAGAAACATGCGGGGCGCATGAAGTCGGAGGCGTAGGTAATGTGACGGAAATGTACTTTATAGTTGATTTGATTGCCTCCCCTATTTATAAGTTAACCGTTTGCATCCAAAACAAAAATACAGTTCATTCGTAAATTTAATTAGATAGGAAGAGTAGGCATTTTATTTGTTTTTATCGTCAAATAGATATAAGTAAGCAGAATCATCCAAAGTGTTTATATTTTGAATTGCTTGTTTACTCACAATAATTTGTATGGAAATTTACTTCAAATGACAGACGCTTATTAGGTTTAATTGAAATCAATTTCAAGAAACGTTTTATAATTTAAGCCAATCGAAATCATTGTTTTTATTCACTTCGGAGATGATGCTTCACAAGCATATAAATAGAGCGCGTTCAGTGTAAAATTACTAATCAGTCTTTCGGATGAGACTTTAAATCGAGGTCCCGTGTATGGGTGCTTAAACACTTGGCACGTTAAAGAACCAGGAGAAGCTTCTGGAATTGGGACATCTTTCTGTATCTGTAATTGCACTATCCTCCAAAAAAAATAAAATGACTAATACTCTTCTTGAGGACTCGCCCATATGGGCAACCGGTGGCGAGTATAAATAAACGCAAATACACAAACACACACAAAAAATTCAGTCTGGTCCTGTCCGTTGGAGAGTGGAAGGGAAGTCATAAATACTTACTGGTACACACGCATCTCAGATTTCTGGTACTAAGGACGTTTTATGATTTCTGTAAAATTCATTGGGCTCCGGACCGTTAAGATCGAAGTTGTAATCATATTTACTAGTATACCCAGGCATCTTAGGTACTGGTGCTAAAAATATCTTTGCATCTTAAGGAAATATTTTGTATTTTAAATAGTTAGTCTGCCTGTTGCCTGTAAGAGTTTGATATAGGTGATATTGTATTTACTAGTACCCAGGTATCTTAGATATCTGGTGCTAAAAATACCTAAGTAAAACCTCTTGGACAAATGTTTGATAGAGAATAATTTATTTGAAGACATTATTCAAAGAATTGGTTTTTGAACGTTTAATGATAAGAGATCGTTGATTTGAAATATTAAAGTAAGAAATAAGAGATAGGTTTAAGAATATAAATTTTAGTTTGTTTGAAAGTAAGTGTGAATAGAGTTTAATTGCTTCCTGAAATATATATTTTGAATAATTTAAGATTAGTTTCAGATTGTTATTTTGCATTTTATTATTTCTGGAATTACTTTTTATAAGTTGATATCTTATCACAAGGTTAAGAAACCACAAGGAAAATTTATATTTGAATATTTCAAATCATTTCGGATAATTTCCCAAGAAAAATTATATATTTGCATTTGAGAATCTTGTGATTTTATTTTGTAGCTATAGATTAAATAACCATCAGCTCGGTACACGCTACACTGTTTCATACAAGCATATTTCACTTTTAACATATTTTAAAGGTAAACTTACTATATAGACGGAAAGAATTTTAGAGCTCTCTTCAAAATACCAAGGGTATTCAAATCATTTGGGGTTGATATACTTCACTTACTTAAGTCATTGATTGAACTTTTTTTACTTGTTTGTTAAGGTGTAGTTTTTTTTCAGAATCCATCAAAGCTATTTGCTTTACACTTGTTTCATTATAAAAGATATGACGCCATGTCAAAACTGACAGATAATTCAAACCTTATCGTTTGCAAAATTATGAATGCATTTCAAAAGAACAGTGCCAGTTTTGGCCACTTTTTAACACAACATTTCCTGTTAAAAATCTTTTTTTTATGTTTATTATTTACACTTTGAACTTGTACTCGTAATTATATTCAGCGCATAAAAAGTGTAAAAAAAACGATATGTCCTGTTTGAACTTAAAACAAACAATTTTATGCCTTTATTACATGCCTTTGATGAAATTCATTATACAAGATTTACTTTGGATAATGTGAGATTATCCAAAAATATTTCAAGTAAAATTTCTGCTTCAGAAGTCGCCTACAAAGAAGTGGTAATACGTTTAGTTATTTATCTGGATAGCTGAAAAAGTAGATTTTCAAAATAAAAAAATACAAGACGGATAACACTTTCTCAATGACGTAAGCTAAAATCGTGCTTAATTTGAATCACATTTATTAATAACGTAATTATTATATTTGGTAGCTGGGACTATGTTGAAATTACAGAAAAGGGCGTTGATGGGACAACAAGCAAATACTGTGGTTGGGACCCTTTGACATATATCACATTTGGGAGCGAAATCCAACTACAATTCAAGTCGGATGTGTCATATGGATACAAGGGTTTCAAATTCATCATCGACGCGAGTAAAAGTTATTATTTTAAAACCTATAAATGGTACCAATGAACTTCCAGCGTTTGCACCTGTAATCGTCTAATATATATCATTATTTCATTTAATCTCATCAATTAAGCATTGTTCAGTGTCTGAAAATAAATCTAAATAAACTCCATTATTATGTTGATTTCCAATATTACCTTTAGTTTATGCACATTTTCTTTTGCAATTAATGGTCTGATTTATATTGTTGAACACAATACTGATTTTATTAAATTTTACAGAGATTAAAAGCGTATAATAGACTTGATTAGCGTATTGTCCAGAGCATTACAGCTATTTGTTCGTCCAGCAGAATTCAATTTTGTTTTCAACAATGTATAATAACCTCAAATTATTACTATTTATATAAGTCAAAAAAGTTAGAGACCAATTAATTTACACTCAAAGTCGACTGTTGCCGACATTTTTCTTTTTTATGACTGCTCTTCTATGTGAAACACCGACAAAAAATTATATTTTACATTTTTAAATGACTTACTTTAAAATCGTTGTTTGATGTTTGTCACAATAACTTGACCTATGATAGGGAGACCAACTCACTTGGCATTATGGAAGCATCTTTCATATGGATCAATACCGTGTCCATAGACCCTATAATTAAATAAACAGAACAATTATATAGGAATGAAATATTCAATATCTTTGTAATAATGATGAAACCTATTGTTATTGAGCAAGGTAATAGGGATGAAATAACCAATCTCTTTTGTAAAAAATGATAAACATTTTGTAGGAGGTGGAGATGACTCTAAGTGCATTGGCAGTATATTGGGTGGTGAAGATTCAAGGATTATGAATAAAGATGATTTAGAAGAGGATTGTTTCTACAGAATACAGGTAACAACATGAGAGTATTCCAGCTTTTAATGTGGAGAAACGCTCACGTGCTCCTCTGTGCATTTTTTCAGGCATGTTCCATAAGCTAGCCAGCTAGATCAAATTATATAATTCAGTCCCTGGCAGGATTCGAACCCATAGCGGTTAGAAGCAAGTGGTTTTAAATCAAAGACCTAAACTACTTCGCCACGGACACCTGTTCAATAATTGAGTACAATTGTTTTACGCAAAATGAATCGAGTTTATTGCATATTATCAATTAATAAATATCATAAGCATATGACAATAGATTTGACGTCTGTCAACCGCCTTCCATCGTCAACAAGTAACATCTTGGATATCACAGTTTGTATCAGATCTTCATTAATCTTCGTTAAAATGACTAAATTAGTGATTCCTCGATTATTTCAAAGAGAAGACATATTGATTAGATTCAGGTCATCTTGAAAAAATCTAAAAGAAATTAGAAGTCACCATTTTTGTCTGATTTCGATTAGCAATTGTCAGAATGTTTATCTCAACGGTCTATCAGATGAGTTTGAAAATAAGTTAAAAAAAACTCTAGGACATGACGTAAAAATCTAGAGGTCATAATTTGTCAAACTTTGCTAAAATGTTTCTACTGTGAAATTTCACAAGAGCTTGAAAATGGTTCGCAGTAGGCCAAATCAAACAAAATATTGTAATTACAATTTTGATTTGATGTTTATTAGACTTTTATTAAAACGACGTTGGGACAATTACTTCTTCGCTCAGTGTAGATTTAAGTTCAACATATTGTTTTGGTTTGGATTACTTGTCCTTGTTACTACGTTTATCTTAGTAAAGTTGACAGGAAACCAGTAATGTTGTTATTAATTCTCTTTTTATTGCAAGTACAAATGCAGCAATTGAGAAGCTCCACGCAAAAAAGTGCGCTCATTACAGATACCTTACCAAATCATTCTTACGCACAGGTCATCTTCTATTCAGATTAAGTATTAGTACTATTTTCTTTTCCATACTTATACTTATCGTATGCACTGTCCATAAGAGAGGGGTCAGATATTAAATTTAAAAAAATACTTTCACTGATGCTTTCCTGGTAAGGAAAGTAATTCCATTGAATACAAACAAGACTTACAAGAATTGTAAATGTAATGTGACATCACAGTAGTTTTTGTGTCACTTCTGTAGTCAGTAATATAAGATGATTAAAATATCAAAGCATGTACAGTTTCTTTATCACCTATAATCCTACTCATTGTCTACAAATCACAAAAACTAATCATGGTAAGAAATATAAAATCCCTCGATGCATAACAAAGTTACAGTCCGGACAAGAATGAGTGTACCTATAAACTCTTATTGTGGTCAAGTGTAACTTAATATTAGTGTGACCTTGACCTTTGTGGTAGGGACGTGATTATTAGACGCGGCACATCGTCTTGAATCGGTAGACATTAATGCCAAGTTATTCTAAAATCCTTCCATGAAAGACAAAGTTACAATCCGAACACAAATGTGTGTACCTATAAACTCTTATTGTGATAAAGTGAACTTCAAAATGTTAAAGTGACCTTGACCTTTGAGATAGGGACATAATTCTTGGACGCGACACATCGTCTCTTTATGGTAGACATTTATGCCTGACAAAGTAACAGTCCGGACACGATTGTGTGTACCTATTTACCCTAATTGCGATAGTGTGAAACTTCAGAATAATAGTGTGACCTTGACCTTTGAGGTAGGGACGTGGTTCTTGAATGCGACATATCGTTTTGATGTGGTAGACATTTGTGCCGAGTTATTTTAAAATCCCTCATTGTATGACAAAGTTACAGTGCGGACACGAATGAAGTGGGTATGCATAGACGGACAGACAGACAGACAAACAGACGGACGGACAGACGTTGCGATTTAATATGCTATTATTTCCGCTTCCGGTATGGCGGTTGTGAAAAAATGTAAATAAAAGAAAATCGAAGAAATATGAAGAAATATGATTGAACTGAAGAACTGAGTTCTCTGAAATGTGATATACAAGTTGAAGCTGGTAAAAGTTTACCCCTTGAAATTTTGAATTTGAAAAATAACAAATTTTGTCCGTGAATTTCGTGAAAAGTGTGCGTCTGAAATCTATATTTAGAACAGTTTGTATACAGAGACTCTCCCGCACAAAATTTTCAACATTTACACTGAGCGCAAAAACTTTGTAACAAAATGACTGATATTGAATGCTCAACACCAAAAAGTGACTTTATCAATAAAAAACGGGAATTATCATCGCCACTTGACTTATAAGACTCTAAAAAATCTAAAGTAGCAGAGACGCAGATAATTCTTTCAAGTGATGACATCAAAGCAATTGCAGAGGGATACGTTAAAATCAAAGCAATTAAAATTCTAAGGGATACGTTAAAATCAGAGGTCCCTTGTCATAGTCATACAGACACACAAGTCCAAGCTATTGTGGATGGCGTCCTCCTTGCAGGGCTGAATATGAAAATTAAGTGTTAAATGGCTGAAGTGACAAATTGCGAGCTCGCGTCTCCAAACTTGAAAGCGATGCTGATGTTGCTTAGCAATATAGCCGACGAAATAGTTTACGTTTTAGCGGCATTCCCGAAACAAAACCTCTACACCAGAGTCCACTGGCTCCTCCCGGTACCGAGTTTGATCCTGTTAACAGCCCAAAAAATCCAACTTCGCATAATGTGGACGGCTTTTCTCTGAATTATGAAAGTACAGATTGCAAAATATGGGAAGTTGTGAAATCTCTTGACCTGTCAATTGAGTTATCTGACATTGATAGGTCACACCGAATTGGCAAAAAAAAACAATGGCAAACCACGTGACATCATCGTAAAATTCTCTACCTATCGTGCTCAGAATGCGGTGTTCAGGGCCAGGGTAGGTTTGAAAACACGGGGCTTATCTGGTGTATTTGTAAACGAAGACCTCACCAGAATTCGTGCTGCACTGTTTTATAAAGCTCGTAAGCTAGCAAAGGAGAAATACATACTCAGTGCCTGGACATACTACGGAACTGTCATGGTCAAGGATAGAAATAATAAAATCCATTGAATCTTATGTGAAAACGACCAAATTATTGTGAAAGTTCTTAACCGACTTCCCAAAATGGACTATATCATTATCCGAGTTCAATATACCGTTATTTTTTCTGAATAGTATACTCAACACGTGTTCCTAATTTGTATACACTGCGCTGACACATGAGACTTAAACGTGCAAGTGTACGTCATAAATTTTTCTTGTGTTTAACAATACATTTATATATGTAGCCTTCATGCAACTATTGTGTTGTTACTTTTGTCTGAACTATGAACATTAACTTAAGTAGTTAAGTATCCTATATTTATGATTGCAATATCATAGCGTACTTATTTTGTTTTGTTGATGATTATGCCTATAATAAGTTTTGATATATCGGACCAGTGTATATTTTGGTATAAATATCGGTAAAGAACTTTGGACAGATCTGAACATTTTTGTCAAACTTTTGTTATACCTGCCATCTTTATATACTTTACACTGTAATTGATAAGTGAGTTTTAAGATTGGTCAGATGTATGTTTTATTGTTATGGAATATATGAATTTAGGTCATAATTATAACTAGCTCTATATGTATACATGTAACACATAATGTCAACTTATTTTTTCCAGAAATATAACATGCTGTTATAATTGTAAATGTATCATCAACAACTGAATAATTACTAAATTGCGATTGACGATGAATACTTTGTAGGATCTATCTCGTCAATCTTATGCGTATTGTTATAATGAGTAGTTTTATATTTGATAAGTAATGATATTTAACGTCTTGTTGAAAACATATATAAATTAAACATTACGATGACTGATGCTTTCTTAAACATATAAACTTGGCCGATATACATGCATGATATTAAAGTTGTGATACTCTGACGTAAATTTAATCTATTTGATTGCTTTATATGTGTATATATTGTTATAGGAATTTATACATTTCTATTTACCTTCATTTGTACATTTGTAAATATGAAATCCTTTACCATGCTGTTAATTTTTCTGTATTGGATCAGACTGAAGCACTATTGATTGAACATAACTTCTGAAATATTTGCAACTTAAACAACATTTAACAAGCAGATGCCAATTTCAATAAGACAACACTTCACTTGTTGTGTAGTAAGTCATAACACTTGCAGTTTACATTTTTGTTTTCCTTTCTTTATGTTTTTTACTTTCTACTTAAAAAGCACACTTAACTGTGTACTGCACTCAAATGAAAACAACATTGAATTGTCAGTAATTTCTGTCTTTAAATGCATTTGTATATTTATTTCACTCAAATAAAAACAAAATTGATTTTTGTTATTCCTGTCTTTCTTTAAATACATTTTTATATTTATTTCACTCAAATGAAAACAAAATTGAAATTTTAGTAATTTCTGTCTATAAAAACATGTGTATGTTAATTTCACTCTAAACATAAAATACATTGAAATGTTATTAATTTTGGTCTTCAGATAATTTTTTTGTATTCATTTCACTCAAATAAAAACAACATTGAAATGTTAATAATTTCTGTCTTTAAATACATTTTTAAATTCATTTCTTTCAAAAACAACAACAATGAAATGTTAATAATTCCTGTCTTTAAATACATTTTTATATTCATTTCACTCAAATAAAAACAATATTGAAATGTCAATAATTTCCGTCTTTAAATACATTTTTATATTCATTTCACTCAAATAAAAACAGCATTGAAATGTTAATAATTTCTGTCTTTAAATACATTTTTCAATTCATTTCACTCAAATAAAAACAACAATGAAATGTAAATAATTCCTGTCTTCAAACACACTTGTATATACCTTTCACTCAAATGAAAACAGAATTTAAATGTCAGTAATTTATGTCGTTAAATACATTTGTATATTCATTTCACTCAAATGAAAACAAAATTGTTTATTCACTTCATTCAATGAAAACAACTTACAGTGAAAT